TACATGGGGTACAGACCCAGTGGAGCTATTTCTGAATAAGATTATATGGACATTTTAGTGATTTTAGTTCCAAATTATTTTCCAGAATGGCTATATCAATTCACAGCTCCAACAATAGCACATTAATGTGTCTATTTTCCCACAGTACACTACCTTCCAAACATTTGCCATTTTCCTTTGTGTCATCTTTGTCAATCTGATTAGGTGTCTGGCAGAACCTATGGTATATGGTATATGTCTAAATTTACATTTTTCTAATTATTAGTGATTTGGAGCATTTTTTCAAATGATTATTGATACTTAAAAAGATAAGATCAATTCATCAATCTCACTTTTGGGCCTTAGACTAAGTAAGAAAAGAAAAGTCTTTGAAAGCAATTTTATTAAGTGAAATGGTGCCAGATAAGAAGTCTGTTCCACTTGCCTGAGGGATTTCATCACATGCTCTGAATTCTGTATAAAAAAAAGCATTAGAATTGGCAGGAATTGAGGAGTTCTGCTGCGCAGAGGGGTAGGAGCAAGTGTGGCTTTCTAGGAAACAATCTAAAAACAATCTAACAGGGTGGGAAAGAAGTCTTAGTTTTGGCCTGAGGTCTCCTTTTCCCCTGTCCCCACCCTTTGGCTGAGGGAAGAATTAGTGAGATTTGAAGGTTCTGGAGGATTTTGGGTTTTCCATCTTCCTATCAGAATCCTAGCACCATCATGTTCTGTTTGCATCATTTTCCTCATCTATAAAATGGGAACAATAATATCACCTACCTTTGAGGGTTGTTATGAGGATAAAATGAGATATTTGTAAAGTGTTTTATAAATCTTAAAAGCACCATAAAAATGAGAGCTATTGTTGTTGTTATCATCCATTTAGAGCTTATCTCACTATTTGGTTTGAGGTGTTGATCTAAACCCAATTTCTTCTATATGGCTTTTCAGTTTTCACAGTAGGTTTTTTTTTTAACCTAATAATGAGTCCTTGACCCAGTAGCTAGGGTTTTAGGGTATATCAAACACTAAGCTTCTAGGTTCATTGGCTTCTGCATATTGTATATTTAGTCAGTTCTACTTAATTTCCCTATTTTTTAAAGAAGTATGAAATAATTTTGATGATTAATGCTTTGTGCTATAGTTTGAGATCTGGTGATTCTAGATCTTTGTTCTCATTTCTCTCATTATTTTCCTTGAAATTACTGACCTTTTGTTCTTCCAGATGAATTTTGTTGTTATTCTTTCCAGCTTTTTAAAGTAATCCTTTGGTGTTTTAATTGACATGACACTGAATAAGCAAAATAATTTAGGCAATTTTGTCTTTTTTTATTATATTGGCTCAGCTTACCAATAAGCAATTAATATTTATCCAATTATTTAGGTCTATTTCTATATAGTATTTTATAGTTGTATTCATACAGTTCTTTGTGTACATCTCTGCAGATAGACTCCCAAATGTTCTATATCTTCTGGTGCCATTTAAAATGGAGTTTCTCTTGGGGCGGTTAGGTGGCGCAGTGGATACAGCACTGGCTCTAGAGTCAGGAGGACCTGAGTTCAAAATCGGCCTCAGACACTTAATACTTCCTAGCTGTGTGACTCTGGGCAAGTCACTTAACCCCAATTGCCTCACTAAAGTAAATAAATAAATAAAACAAAATGAAATTTCTCTTTCCATTCCTGCTGGGTTTTGTTGGTAACATGCAGAAATGTTAACGACTTATGTGGATTTATTTTATTTCCTAAAACTTTTATGGTTGTTTAAATTAATTTTAGTTGACTCTTGAGTTCTTTAAGTAAGCCATTAAGTTATGTTCAAAAATAGTAATTGCTTCTTCTTTGACTATACTTATTTTCTCAATTTCTATTTCTTTTATTGCTATTAGCGGCATTTTTATCCCTATATAATATAATAGTGACAACAATGGGCATCCTTGCTTTACTCCTGATCTTATTAGAAAGACCTCTATTTCACATAATGATGGCTTTGGGTTTTACATAGCTATTACTTAATATATTATGGAAAGGTCCAATTATTTCTATGCTTTTTTAGTATTTTTAACAGATATGTGCATGGTATTTTGTCAAAAGTTTCCTCTATCTGCAGATATAATCATATATATATATATATATATATTCTTATTATTGGTATCAACTATGTTTATAGATTTCCTAATATTGAACTAACCCCCCAATCATAGTGTACTATCCAACTTGGTCATAGTGTACAATATTTTTGATATGTTGCTATAGACTGGTTCATAGTTTTCTTTCTCTGCTTTGGACTCTCATTTAGATACTGAGATCATATTTATGTCATAAAACAAATGTGGCAGGATATCTTCAGTTCCTATTTTTAAAAAGTGTTTACATAATAATGGAGTTAATTTTCTTTTTAATGCTTGATGCAATTTGCTTGTAAATCTATCTGGTACTGGTATTTTGTTCTTTGGGAATCAATTTAGAGCCTATTCAGTTGTTTTTCTTCTGAGATTCAGTTAAATTCTCTATTTCTTTTTTTTTTGTTCATCAGATATTTCATATTTTTGTAAATTTTCATCCATTTCATTTAAATTGTTGGTGTTTATTGGCATATAGTTGGACAAAGGAGTGTTTAATAATTTCTTCTTCATTTGGTGTGAATTTTCTTTTTTTCATTCTAGTCACTAGTAATTGGTCTTCTTCCTTCAAAAAAATCCAATTATTCACACCGAAGTAGTGGAATAGCAGGAAGAAATGTTGAGTTCTACCTCACAAGTCCTTCAAACAGATGTAGAAAAGGCCCCAGACCAAATTCTAACTGGGGAAATTCAAGAAAAAAATCATAGTGAGTCATTCTTCCAGCCCAGGTCATCACAGATAGACAAAAAGGTCTGTGGATATTAGGGATGGGATATAGCCAGGTATAGCCACATGGTGAGTGAAGAGAAAGGCTGTGCACTATGGCAAGAAAAAGCTCCAAATCCAACAGAGAGGCACCTAAACATGTAAGGTTTAGGAGTAGATCACAAATGGTGGCTCTGTTGCTCACAACCTATTTCCAGGTCACAGATCCAGGTGGATTGAGGAGGGGACTAGTGTCTGCGGATGGTATTTCAAGGTGATTTGTGATTATGTGCCCTAGGCTGTAGACCAAGCAAGGAGCAAGTTCAGAAGCAAGCGGTATCTGTGTGGCTGCTGACTCTTCCATTTTATAAATAGGTTTTTCTCATTTACATTCATGATCAAGAATTACATATTTCTGTTCTTCCTATTCTCATACTTCCCTCCCCCTTTGCCCCTTTCCCTCTTCTTTAACAAAGAAGAGGATAGTGAAGAGTGTGCACAGAATTAGTTATGTGTTGATGCAATCTGCCTCAACTCCCCTGTTATTACCCCTTCTTTCTTTCCTTTCCAATGCCTTCAATCCTTTTTTTCCCCTCTCCTGATCTGTATTCTCCAGGATCCTGCTGCTGATTTCTCTGAGTATTAACATAAGCTCAGGTTAAGGGACATAAACACTTTCAGCATGCCCTAAATCGTTTGATCCAGAGTAAAGTCTAAGCTCTAGTCTGAGCTCTGCAAGCTCCCAACCTTGGTCTGAGTCTGGGCAACACAATTGCAAACTTTCCCTTATTTGGAGCTCCAGTAGACAGCTATTGGCCCCAGCTCCTTTCAGTTAGCTCAAATGTTCTGCAGGTTCGGAGAGACAAAACTCCATTATCACCCTTGGTTTGAGTTCCTTGCCCTGGTTTCAGCTGAATCCACAACTCAAATTCAAGTTCAGAGCCATCTACCTTCTGTGATTTCTGTTCTTGTTCTTTGCCAAGTATACAGCTTCAGGCCTGGTCCATGTTAAATCCATAACTGTTCCTTGCCTTTGTAAATATCTGTAGGCCCTTCCATAACCCAGTTCTGGAGTCAGAGAGGCAGTTAATGGCTGACTCTTGCCTTTTTTGTTTTCATACATAGCCCTGCAAAGCCCAGACCAGTCCCTGTCCTGAAATGCCCGTGCAGATAGGTCTTCCTGACTAGAGCCCCAGGAATCTTGGTGCTTTTTCCTTGTATTTTCCCATTACAATTCAGTCTGGTGCTCTTCCTTGATCTTTGCTGTAGTAGTGATAGGAAAGAACTGAGGTATATTGCTGCTTCTTTCTCTGCCATCTTTCCTGGTCTCCAAAAGATACAGTCTCAAAATGACCAATTCAGGAAAACTGTAACTATTCAATAAGATAAGACCATATGATTATACTTATCAAAGTGTAGAAGTGAATGTCTGCATAGAATCAGAGATACCTGGAAATGCTTGGTGTATGGCACAAGTTTGAAAACCATTATTCAGAATTATGCCTGCATTGAACAGGAAGTATGTTTGTGTCTACACTCATATGTGTATATATTTGTGTGTGTAGAACTATATTATAGTAAATTCTTAATATGTAATAGTTCCTTTGTTGTTTAGCATCTCTATTGATTGACAATATTAATAATTATGATTAATATAATTAATAATTATAACTGACAGTATTTTTGTATCGTTTTATTTGAAATTCGCTGATTTTAAATTGGATGTCAGAAACAAATGACACTACCTAGAAAGATAAAAGTATATGAAACATAGTTGGGTTCTGGGGCTCAGGCCCCCTTCCAAACTGCTAGGCCCTGGTCTTCCCTCTTTTAGCCTTGGTACCACCTCACTTGCCAACAAGAATGACCAATCTGTTTTCCCATGCTTTCTTTGCTAAGAATACTACTGGATATTTCACCATTGGTAGTTCTCCTTTCAATAAGGAATATGACTTCCAGCTATTTATGTATAAAAGTTACTGAAGACCTTGAGCAGATGGTAGGCTTAGCACTGTGGGAGAAACACCTTCACGGAGGCTTAATGGGAGGGAAGCAGCATCAGAGCAGGCCTACTCCCATTGGTAATATAGATAGGAATTATTAATTAGTAGGAATAATTTCATAGAAATTAAGCCAATTAGTAGGTATGGCTCAACTACACCCAAATGACCATTGCCTCAGGCACTAGACTATTGATTTTTTGAAACTTTCTTTATTATAAAGAGATTCAAGCCAATAATTTATAAATCGAAATTACCAAGGAGAGGGAAAATACAATCCTGATTTCACACCTCCATCATTATTGTCCTTATCAGCTCTTGGCTTCAAGACCCACTTCTGTGCTGTAGAAGGAAAGACGATATAGTGACTAAGTGTCACAGGCTGAACTTACCCTTCATCTCCCCTTAGCTCTTCCCACCTCAAACACTCCATTGACCTAAATAAAATTCATCTAAAACCCACAACCACTAAGTAAAATTAAGCATCACTGGCTTAGGTTTTCAAGTCTAGTAGCACTCAAGATGTACAACCATACCCAAACTTCTAGTTTCTTTGCATTGGCCACATTTTCCTATTCTAGGATACATTTTCTCTCAAAACTAAATACACAGTTTATTTTGGATGTTTTGTACCCTATGTTTGCCTTACCAAAACTCTAATTAAACTTATACATCCCTTATGGGGGAGTTAAAAAATTGAAGGGGCAGTTTGGGGAGACTTGGATTCTTAATCCAAGGCCATTTGCTGAACACTGTTACATAAAGGTAATAGCTAAAGACCATTTTGACAGTTCCTAATACATGTAACAATGTGTTAGTTCTGAGCAGAGACCACAATCAGGTTTGCTTACACTATTTCATTTTCTGTAATCCATTCAGAAATTAATTGTTCTATCTGGTTACTGAAGAAAGTCAATAGGTGAAGAATTGGTAATCTCTACAATTAGAATCTTTTCTAATTCCTTCCTTATTTCACTTACAGTATAAAGACCTTATTTTTCTGAACCAAAAATTGGGAAACATGTCCTGACAATACTTTTTTTCAAAATCTCATTAACATTTTTCTTGAAATTAATTAATTCAACACTGCACTAGGTATTGGTGAAGATATAAAATGTAGATATAGCATAGGTTCTGCTTTTAGAGAGCTTACAGTCTGGTAGGGGGATAGAACACGAATATAGATACAGAGTCCCAGAAAACTGACTCATATGGTTGCTATACATAACAGCCTGCATTGACTGTTATTTTCCAGTGGCTGCACTGCTTCAAGTGTCTTTAAGCCCTCAAGTCCTGACCAAGTCAGCTCTGACACCTAGGCATTCAATTCAATTCAACAAGCACTTAATAAGTACGTATTATGTGCCACGCATTATTTTGTTCTAGTGACAGAAAGATAAAAAATGAAGACAGTTCCTGTTCTCAAGAAGCTTACACTGATGATGAGTGATGTGAACAGAACCAGAACACTTTAACAGTAACAGTAATACTGTGCGATGACCAACTCTGATAGACTTAGCTCTTCTCGGCAATACAATGATCCAAGACAATTCCAAAAAACTCATGATGGAAAATGCTATCCACATCCAGAGAAAGAATTATGGAGTCTGAATGCAGATTGAAGCATACTGTTTTCACTTTTTATGTTTTTTTCCCTTTAGTTGTTTCTTCTTATATGTGTGTGTATGTACACACACACACACACACACACATACACTTAATTATAACCTTCTGGGGGGGGGCAGGAGGAGGAAGGAGGAAAAAAGAACAAAGTAAAAAGTGCACAGCAGAGAACAAAAGAAAACTTACAAGGAAGCAAAGAAAAGATGGACAGCTCTGAATACAATGTATAGTATTTATTAGATAGGCTTTCTTGAAATGGAAATTTATTGCTGTGTATTTTGAATCTTCTCTCACATTCTGCTGTGCACATGGCAATGCTTTTTTTCTTTTCATTTTGTATTTAAGTTTTAGTATTTAAGTCCATGTTTCTTTTTCTTTTTTTATTGTATATTTAAGTTTAAAATAATAAAAAATTAAAAAATGAATGTTGAAAATACTCTTTACATGTAATTGGAAAAAATAAAATACTATTTTAAAAAAGAAGCTTACAATTTACTGGGGGAAAACATGTACAAGTAAATCAGCATAAACCATATGCAAAATAAATTGGTTTGGGGTAAGCCCTCAAAATTGAATGGATCAGGAAGATGGCATTTCAGGATCAGGATGGGATTGGGGGATGGCATTTCAGATGCAAGTCAATGGCACTAGGAATTACAAGAGATGGAGATGTTCAGTAAGAATGGCATTTCAGACCTGAGGAACAGCCTGGGTCAAGGCTCAGAGGCTGGAGATGGAGCAGATTCTCTGCAATGAAGATTCATGATGAGGAGTTATGTAAAATAAATCTAAAAATCTAGGTTGCACTTAGATTGTGAGGGGCTTTCACTGCTAAACAAGGAGTTTATATTTTACCCCAGAGGCAATAGGGAGCTACTGAAGTTTCTTCAATATTCATCAAACTTTGTGTCCCAGAAATATTCCAATACCCTAATGTGATCTTTTAAATTGGATAAATTTTGAGATTTGTTAAACAGCCAGTTGTAATTGAATTGTGAATAAGGGGCATTAGGACAAGAGACAAGACAATGTTTGCAAGACTAGAAAGCAAGCCAGGAGCAGAATAATATTAATAATATTAAAACAAAAAACAGCCCATATATTCCTGCATCGGGAAAGGAGGATGTGAATAATGTCTACATCACAGGTTAGGGAAGAATTTAAAACTGAGGAGCAAAGGCAGGAGTTCTGTACCTGTGAGGCAGTTAAGGGCCACTTGCTTTGACATCTGTCTCCTTCAAGGTTGACCTGGACTGGGCTCAGAAGTGACCCGTCTCTGAGGGCTAAGATTTCCATCTCTAACTTTGTATAGATTTCTTATAGTTAACAGGACTTTCAATGCATTCCATAAGAATGGCTCTACTAGACCCCAGGAAACATTCCTTTATTGCTAGGTCCTTCATTCTTGGAGTTATTTTGTTTAATAATTTTTTTAAGTTGATGTTTTACTTCATCACCAACAACAGATACAAATGCTAACTAAAGCAAATGAAACGGGCAGTAACAATGTAAGATTCAGAGCATGCTGGATTTGGAGTCTGAGATTAAGGGTTCAAATTCTATCTCAGTTATTCATTACCCATGTGACTTTAGGCAAGTCACTTTCTACTCTAGGTCTCAGTTCTACCTTCCAATTCTGAATCTGTGATCCTATGAAATGCTGAAATCAAGTGACAGAAAATTTGTTAAGCATTTCTTAAAAGTTGAAGTTATCTTGAAAATTGTAGTCTTCTCTTCTGTCCCCACTTTCCTAAATTTAGATGTATTTCTCTTCCCTTTAATAAGTATTAGATCCATCCATCTTTTTGCTGTAAGTCAGAGCTATAGAGACTTGCCTGGAGGCACTCAGAGGTTAAGGGACTTACCCAGGGATACATAGCCAGGATGTGTCAGAGGTCAGATTTCAGCCCAAGTGTTCCTGGCTTCAAGGCCAGCTGTCTATCCACTACCCCATGGTGCCTTGGTTAGAAGCTACTAATGAACATTCCTTATATATGGTAGTTATGTGATAAAATAATTTATTATGAATCACTTGGATATATGAGCTAAAATTTACCCATAGTATTTAATAGTTTAACTCTTTATACTTAACATGTACACCATTATATTCAAGAAGGACCTATGTGAGTGTGAGTTGTTGGGTATAATCTATCAAAGAGATTCTATCTGAATGTAATCTTCCCTTCATTGAGGTTTCCCTTTTAACAAAGACTTTAAAAACAAAAGAAAAAAAATTTTTTTAAATAGTTTCGGCAAAACCAATCAGTATATTAACCATGTCTGAGAGTACATAGGACATTCCACATCCACCATCCCTACCTCTATAATAATAATACTTAGCATTTATATAGTCCCCTCCTGGATCACTGCCCTGTCGTGGTGAAGGTGCTTGTATAGCTCAATGAAACTATGAGCTATGCTGTGCAGGGTTACCCAAGACACACAGGTCATAGTGGAAAGTTCTGACAAAATGTGATCCACTGGGGAAGGGAATGGCAAATAACTCTAGTACCTTGCCAAGAAAACTTCACAGACAGTATTAAAATGACAAAGGAGAGGACATCAGAAGATGAGCCCCTCAGGTCACAAGGTGTCCAACACCCTACTGAGGAAGAGTGGAGGACATTTATAAATGGGGGACATTTTTAAAATGCTGCATTCAATATTCCAGCAAATTTGGAAAACTCAACAGTGGCCACTGGATTGGAAAAGAGCAGTTGATGTTCCCAATCCTAAAGAAGAGCAATGCCAAGGAATATTCAAATTACCCACAATTATGCTCATTTCACACGCCAGAAAAATTATGCTTAACATTCTGCAAGCTAGACTTCAGCAATATGTGAACTGAGAACTGCCAGAAGAGCAGGCTGGTTTTTGAAGAGGCAGAAGAATTAGAGACCAAATTGCCAATATTCACTGGATTATGGAGAATGCAAGGAATTTCCAGAAAAACATCTACCTCTGCTTCAGTGACTACCCTAAAGCCTTAAACTGTGTGTGAACCACAACAAAATGTGGCAAGTCCTCAAAGAGATGGGAGTACCAGATCATCTTGTCTCCCAAGGCACCTGTGTGTGGGTCAAGAAGCAACAGTTAGAACTGAACATGGAACAACTGATTGATTTAAGATTAGAAAAGGGATATGATAAGGCTGTATACTGTCACCTTATTTAACGTATATGGAGAGTACATTATGTGAAATCCCAGGCTGGATGAATCAAAAACTAGAATTAAGGTTGCCAGGAGAAATATAACAATCTCATATATGCAGATGATACCACTATAATGGCAGAAAGTGAAGAAGAATTAAGAAGCCTCTTGATGAAGGTGAAAGAAGAGAATATAAAAAGTTGGCTTGAGGCTTAACATAAAAAAACAAAGATCTTGGCAACTGGTTGCATCACTTCCTGGCAAATACAGAAAAAAGGGAAGCAGTGTCAGATTTTATATTCATGGGCTCAAAGATCACTGCAGAGGGTGACTGAAACAACGAAATTAAAAGACGCTTGGTCCTTGGAAGGAAAGATATGACAGATCTGGACAGCATACTAAAAAGCAGAGACAATACCTTGCTTACAAAGGTCTTTATAATCAAAGCTATGGTTTTTCCAGTAGCAATGTATGGCTGTAAGGGATGAACTACTAGGAAATCTGAGTGCTGCAGAAGTGATGCTTTCAAATTGTGGTGTTGGAGAAGACTTTTGAGATTTCCTTGGATAACAAGGAGATCAAATCAGTCAATACTTAAGAAATTAATTCAGGCTATTAACTGGCAGGTCAAATACTGAAGCTGAAGCTTAAATACTTTGGCCACATAATGATAAGCTAGGACTATGTGGAAAATAATCTGTTTTGGAACAATTAAAGGCAAAAGGAGAAGGGGACAGCAGAAAATGAGATGGATAGATAGTGTCATGGAAACCATAAACACGAACTTGGATAGACTTTGAGAGACAGTGGAAAATAGAAAGGCCTGGTCTGCTATGTTCCATGGGGTCACAAAGAGCCCATTCAGCCACACGACTGAATGACTAAACAATGTTTACATAGCTCTTTAAGGTTTGCAAAGCTCTACATGTGATCTCATTTGATTCTCATAGCAACTCTATGAGATAGGTGCTAGTATCATCCCCATTCTAAAGATTAGGAAACTCAGGCTGAGAGAGGTTAAATGACTTGCCCAGGGTCACACTGCTAGTAAGTGTTTGAAGTCAGATGAATGAGATGAAAGACAGAATGAAAGGAGCAGAGTCAACTCTTCTCCAGGGTCAAATTTGATCAGTACAATTACACAGCACTTAGTTGTTATTGTTTTTTAATTGTTCTTTCTATTTACATTTTGGTAGTAGTTGCATATATTCTCCTGGTTCAATCAATCAATAAGCATTTATTGACTGTGATGTTGTGGGCACCAGGATGACCAAGATAAAAATGAAACCTCAAAGAGCTTGAATTCTATTGGGGGAGACAATTAGTCTGGTACATGCAAATACACAAAATAAATACAAGGTTCTTTGGGGGTTATAAGGGATAAGTCGCTAGGGTGGGAGAAGGAGTCAAGAAAGCCTTCATGCAGAAGGTTGAATTTTGAAGAAAATAAGGGATTCTAAGAAGTGGATATGGGAATGGAATTCATTTCAGACTTGGGAGATGGCCTAGGTACAGAAATGAAAGATGGAAGAGTGTATGTGAAAAACAGGAAAAAAGCTGACACAGAATAGAGTGTAGGAAGGAAAATAATGTATAGCATGCCTGGAAAGGTAGGTTGGGGGTCAGGGTGTGAAACTTTAAAAGTCACCCAGGAGTTTAAATAAAAGGGAACCACTGAAGTCTGAGAAGGTGGGTAACCTGGTCAGACTTATGCCTTAGGAATATCATTTTGGCATTTTGGAGAGGATGGTTTGGAGAGGGGAAAGACTTGGGGTCAAGATACTGCTTTCTCCTGGTTCTCCTCCTACCCTGTCTGACCACTACTCAGTCTCCTTTGTTCGATCTTCCTCCATTCCACACTCACCAATCTCAGGGCATCTCCCAGAGGTTCTGTCCTGGGCTACGTCCTCTTCTCCCTCTATACTAATTAACTTGGTGGTCTTAACTGCTCCCATGGAAAATTATTATCACTAGGCAGATGATACTCAGATTTGTCTAGTCAGTGTCATATCACTGACCATCAATTAGACATCTCAAACTCAACGTGGCCAAAACAGAATTCATTAATTTTTCCCCTAATCTCTCCTCTCTTCCCAATTTCCTTATTACTATTGAGAGAACTACCACTTTCCTAGTCAAGACTTTCAACTTGGGTTTCACCCTTGACTTCTCACTTCTTCCCCCTCACTCACAACCAATCTGTTGACATGTCTTGTCATTTCTATCTTCACAGAATCTCCCATGTAAGTCTCCTCTATTCACACAGTCACCATCATGATGCAGACCCTCATTGCCTCATGCCTAGAATATTGCCAGTAGCCTTCTAGTTGGTCTCCACCCACTCCAATCTAGCCAGCACTCAACTGCCAAAGTGGTCTTCCTAAAGCACAGGCTTGACCTGTCATTCCCTACTCAATAAACTCCTTTTACTGCCAGGATCAAATACAAAAATCCTGTTTGGCCTTTAAAAACCTTCACAACCTGACCCCTTCTTTCCAAGTCTTATATTTCACACCCCTTCACTCCATCAATAATCCAGTGACAATGGCCTTCTTGTTCTTTCTTACACAGGACATTTTATCTCTTGGCTTCATGCCTTCTCACTGGCTATTCCCCATGTCTAGAAGGTTCTCCTTCTCTCTGCCTCTTTTCTTCATTGGCTTTCTTCAAGATTCAGCTCAAATTCTGCCTTATCCAAGTGCCTCCCACCATTGTTAGTGCATTCTCTCTCAGATTATCTCCTAGCTACACTATATCTCTTGCATGTACAACGTAATTGTATTTCATCTTCCCCATTAGAATGTGAGCTCCTTGACAGCTGTGACCATATTTTCGCCCTTCTTTGTATCCTTAGCATTTAGCACAGTGCCTGGTATGTAGTAAACACTTAACAAATGCTCTTGACTGATTTTATAGAAAGCAATTAGTACTCTATAGCAATAGTTCAGTCAAGAGGTGACCAGGGCCTGCACTAGGGTGGCAGCTAAGTGAGAAGAGTGTATGGGAGAAATGTTGTGGAGATAGAAATAATGAGATTTGGCAACTGTGGGGGAAGGGAGAGTGAGGAGTTAAGAACAGTGCCAAGGTTAGGAAACTTGGTGACTGAAAAGACTATGATACTCTCAAGAGAAAGAGAAAATTTCGTAAGGAGGATAGATTTGGAGAGAAAGTTAATGAGTCTGTTTTCTTCATGATGTATTAGTTTTGTATAAGTTTTCCAATGTTCCTCTTTATTCTTCATAGTTAAAAAAATAAATTTCATTGTAATTTTTATTTTCATATTACCTCACCCTCCTATCTCTTATAAGAAGGAATAAAAAGAGGGAGGGAAAAAAGCTCTGCAAAACTAGCCAACCTATTGAAAAATCTGCCCTATGTATTCTCCCACATCTATAATCCACCACCTCTACAAAGAAGGGAGATCTCTTCTTTGGGGCCCAGTTTGGACGTTACAACCCCATAGAATTTAGTTTCAATTGTTTTCCTGTAGTTCTTTCCACTTACATTGTTAAAGTCAAAAGTATGTTGTTCTCCTGGTTCTGTTTACACTTTACATTATCCCCTTTAACTCCTTCGTGTTTCTGCATTCTTCATAAAGTACAGAAACAATCTATAACATCCATGGGCCATACTTTGTTTTACCATTCCCCAGTGGATAGGCTCCTACTTTGTTTCTAGTTCTTGGCTAAAACAGGTGCTACAATTAGCATTTTTTTAATATATGGGATTTTTCTTTCTGGAGTGCATAGAGTGTCAAACCTGAAGTCAGGAAGACTCATCTTCCTGAGTTCAAATCTGGCCTCAGACATTTACTATGCTGTGTGACTCTGGGCAAGTCACTTCGCCCTATTTGCTTCAGTTACCTCATCTGTAAAATGAGCTGGAGGGGCAGCTAGTGGATAGTGGATAGAGCACTGGCCTTGAAGTCAGAAGGACCTGAGTTCAAATCCAGTTCCCACCAGACACTTGACACTTACTAGCTGTGTGACCCCGGGCAAGTTACTTAACCCCAATTGCCTCTCAGTTAAAAAAAAAAATGAGCTGGAGAAGGAAATGGCAAACCATTACAGTATCTTTGCCAAGACAACCCCAAATAGGGTCATGAAGAATTCAACAAAACTGAGAAATGACTTACCAAGGATCTCTAAATCAACAGGTATGGACATTTTAATCACTTTGTAAGTGCAATTCCACATTGTTTTCCTGAATGGTTTGATCAGTTTACAGCTCAGCCCACAGTGAATTAGGGTGTCCCTCCAACATTAGTTATTTCTATCTTTTCTCATCTTTATCAGTTTTCTGGGAAGTGAAACATAAGAGTGGCTTTAATTTACATTTTTCTCATTAATAGCAATTTGGTACAATTTTTTGTGTTTGGTACTAGTTGGGAATTCTTTTTTTGAGACTGTTTATTCATATTCTTTACCACTTGTCTACTGACTCTTGGTTTTATATATTTGTGCTGGTTACCTTGAATATATTAGTCCCTTACCAGAAAATATTTGGTTTTTTTTCTCCATCAATAGTTTCCCTTTATAGCTTAACTGCACGGATTTTCTCCACGCAAGGGCTTTTCAATTTCATGTACTACAATAAAAATGATCTATTTAACTTATTATGATTTCCTTTATCCCCTGTTTGGTTAAGAAATGCCTCTCTAGTTATAGCTAGAAAAGGTGCATTCATCCATGTTTTTTAAAAAATGATGCAATCTTTCATGTTTAAGTGAGTCTTTGGGGCTTATCACAAAGGTATTACACATCAATTATGTAAGAGACTGTGACCTGAACCTGTTTTTGGTCTAATTACTTTTCAGTTTCTCCAGAACATCCAACACCAAACAATTCTCATCAAAAGTCCTTCCCCAACTAGTTTATGTTCTTGGGTTTTTTGAAATAATTGCTTCTGATTCTTGCTTATCTAATTCTAATCCACTACCTATATTTTGTAACCACTATCAGATAGTTTTGGTAACTACTGTTTTGTAACTTGAGCCCTGGCAGTACTATTTCTCCTCTACTCCTGCTTTCCTCCTATTATTCACCCTGACGTTCTAGATCATTCAAATGAATTTTTTTAAAAATTCTGTCTAACTCTATAAAGTAACTCATTGGTAGTTTAATTGGTATTACACTAAATCCGTTAATAAAATTAGGGACTTTTTATTGGTAAAGCCCAACAAGGAAACATGGATACTTCTCCAATTTTTAAGTTAATTTTTTATTTTCCTAAAGTTTTGCAATAGTACTTACATAGCTTGAATGTGTCTCAGAGGACTGACTCTCAGATATTTAATGTATCTTATGTTTTTTAGGGCAATCTAGGTGGCACAGTGGATAGATTGCTGGACCTGGAGTCAAAAGACCTGAATTCAAATCCGGCCCCAGACACTTATTGGCTGTGTGACCCTGGACAAGTCATTTAACCCTGCTGGTGTCAGTTTCTTCATCTGTAAAATGAGGTGGAGAAGGAAATGGCAAACTACTCTAATATCTTTAATCCCAGATGCGGTCACAAAGAGTCAGACATAACAGAAATGACTGAACAACATAGTATTTTTAATGGGGTTTCCATTTCTATTACTTCCTCCTGGATTTATTATTGCTATAAAGAAATGCATATTCCCTGGGGTTTTCTAAGTAAATTAATGTAATTTGTAAATAGGGATAATCTTGTCTCCTTTTTGTAAATATGTATGCCTTTATTTCTCATCTTATTGCTATCAGAAGCATGCCTAGATCTATGTTAAATAATAGAGGGAAGAGGTGATATCTTTGCTTTACCCTTGCATTTATTGTGAAAGCAAATAATGTCAGGTTTTGGTTGAACTAACAAAGTGTTGTCTATTTCATGGCAAATTAATTTGCTAACATTTATAAAGAACTATGTGCTAGGCACTGTGCTAAGAGCTTTACAGTTACTATCTTCACAACAATTCTGGGAGGCAGGTGCTATTATTATCCATGTTTTACAGATGAGGAAACTGAGGCAAACGGTGGTTAAATGATTTAGCCTAGATTCACAGAACTAGTCAAGGGTCTGAGGCTGGATTTGAACTCAGATCTTCCTGATTCCAGGCTCAGCACTTTATCTACTGTGTCACCTAGCTGTCCTAAAAAATAACTATAAGATGCATTAATCATTAACCTATCAATTACTTTCATATAAAGAGTTTGTTTTTCAGTTCATGAATATGCTTGAAAAGTTTACTGTCATTATACATTCTGGGAGCAATTTCAGACTCTCTCCTCACCTCTTTCGGACTTCTGCAGAGAAACAACCTGGGATAATTTGTATAACCATGCCTAGCTTCCCTAGGAGAGAATGGAAGGCGAAGAGGCATATTGGCCACATAGGTGGTGGGAAAGGAAACAAATGGGATGGACTTCTCATGGGCTGACCAAGACTGAAAAATGAAGACTTTTTGTGTGATACAAGCAAGAGGAATGGAGACCTTTTATATGGAAGACAAGACTGTGGAACCCCCAGTGTAAGACAATATTTCTTAAAACCCAGAGGCATTTTGGCCCTGAGTCTGAAAGATCTATGAAAGCCCTATAATAGTGTCAGTCAAGATTCTAGCGTAATTCCCCTTTTAAGATCCCTACCTGTCTTTCACCTCCTCAAAAGCTGGCATCATCTCCTAGAAAGAGAGCAGGGTTGGAACAGCTGCAGGAGAACAGCAGACAGTTTGGAGGACCCATTATACCTGTTGAGAATAGAGCATGTTGGTAGAAGATTGGTAGCATGGTAGGAAAGATGCTGGCAAAAGAACAAGGCAGGGAGCCTGAATGGAGGAGAAGCAATTTATAGGACTTGGAGAAGGAGAGAAGCATAGAGGTCATCTGGTTCAACCTCTGCATTTTAAATGGGAGGAAACTAAGGTCCAGAGAGGTTAAATGATTTGCCCAAGGTAGCACAAGTAGTGACAAAGGGTGTGGACCCCAGTCCTTTGATGCCAAATCCTATGGTCTTTCTGTTGTGCCACCTCACAACCACTCAGCAAAGGCTGATGAAAGGGGAACTATTGGAGCCCAGGGAAAGTATTGGCTTAGAGCTCCAAAGGCCTTTTAAAGCCTTACTGTGGGGATCCACACAGGGTAGTATTATAAGTCACAAGGACTGCCCACAAGTACCTGGGAAGGAGGTGGCTTCCCATTAGAAATGATTTCTTTACTTTCTATGGACTCAGATATAAATCCTTTTCCCATGCAGTGGGTCCCACTCAGGGTAGTAATATGTCACTTGAATTGTAAAGGCCCTAGGGAGAGGTGTTGACCTAATGGAATTGGAAGAGGTAATATCAACTCTTTACTCAAGTGAGTCTTTCTTGTCTTTTACTATATAAATAAAACCTATTCTATGTTTGGTGTCTAATGCTTTTGAGGATACCTGTTGCTACCACTGGTGGAGTGCCAATACTGCCATCCCTAGGCTCTACCTAGGTGGAGAGTAAATGAACCCATAGAAATTAGTCCTCAAGCTAAACCTGGGCTTTTTAGATCATAGCGTCATAGAAATGGAAGGAATCTTAGTGGTCATATAGACAACTCCCCCTTTACAGATGAGGAAACTGAGGTACAGAGATTAAGTAGCTTTTCCAAGGTTTTACAGGTTAAGTAAAAGAGCTGGATTCCAATCCAGTTCATCAAGCTCCAAATTCCACAGTCTTTCTACTATACCACTACTCTCACATCAGAAGAGAACCTCTGACAGAAGGGTCGCACAAACACTCCTCTTACAATGTTGGTTACATTATTTATTAGATATCCAAAATTAAGCCCAGACTCTATCTGAAGAATCGTGGAAAGAGTATTGAGTGGGAGTCAAGAGATGTGGGATACAGTCCTGTCCTTACTCCTAGACCTATGTTATCCTGAGCAGGCACAAGTTCTCCGAAGTGAGTAAGACAAACTGGTTTGTTGTTTTAGTCTGGAAAGTAAGAGGGTTGGATTGACCTCTAAGGCCCTTTCCAACTTGAACCTGTATTTTATTCTAGAATCTATTCTTTATTCTAGAATAGTCTTCAAATTAACGGCACTTAACTGTAACATTTGAACTTACTTGTCTTCAAGCACAAAGAAACCATAGTTTGGAAAGTCTGTGGCCATCTCAGGTACTTTGGTTGTTGGCCACACCTGCCAATTTTCTTGTTATTTCTTCAAGAGTGGCTACGGAAAAAGTTGTAATGATATAATGATACTTCAATATTAGCAACCAGAACACAGCTGCTTCTTGGGAGGGACACTGGGCTGAGCTAGAACACTGAGTTTAAACAGTGGCTCAGCCACTCTACCCCCTGCAGCCTCGGCTTTCCTCACCTACTACCAGCTGAGGGGCCTCAGATGGATGATCTCTCAGGTTTCTTTCATCTTCACCACTCTCTTACTCTAACCATACCTGGCTGGGTCATGATGGGATAACTAGGGTCTTTATGAACTCTCCACAGCCAAAATTCTTCAAAGTGGCCAGATTCTCCATCTGCTGAAGGTATAAAACGCTCATTAGGTTGATGAAGAACAGAGGGGCCCTTTTGTTTCCAAGCTGTTTGACTTTATCTACAACTTTATAGTTTAAAAGGGATTTCCCCTGAACAACCCTGTGAGATAAGATAGAAAAGTCACACTCACTCTTTCATGCTATGACCTAAAGCCATACGAGACCTCAAATTTGACTAATTTGCATGGTAGTTTGTCCGGAGAGATTACGGCTAAACCCTCACTGATGACAACAGATTAAAAAACATCATCTTGATTGTTGTCCACTTCCTTACCTTTCCTCTTAAGATATGGTGATGGCAGTGGCTCCTCTGGCATCTCCTATATCACATACATTGAGAAAAACCATGAGAAATTATCTACTACTTCTGTCTTTGAAAATGTCGGAACCCTGGACCAGAAATTGGGAGTTTTAGCTTGGCTCTGACACTAAATAACTATGTAACCTTGAACAATCACTACCTTTGTCTCTTTTCTGCGTCTATAAAACTGGAACAATCTAACACCTTCTGCAATTAATTTCAAGGACAGCTGTAAGGATCAAATGACATCAAGGTCTAAGTAAAGTGTAAAAGTGAAAGGCAAGCCTTCAGATCTGATGGTTTTACCATTCTTCTTTGTCATCTGTAGTGGAGATTTCTTTCAAATTTGTAATAAACCTTACTTCATTTCCAAGACTGAACTCTTTCAGTGTACACCTGGGATTCTAAGCCAGGGGCTAGGAAAAGTTACAGGAAAGGGCAAAGGTGAGCAGCGTGCTCTGACCCTGTCTCTAACTTGAAACAATTAACATGTCTCTTCCAAAGGCAGACTTGAATAATTTTTAGTTTCTTTTCTGTGTTCCACAAACAGTGAATTGTTTTAGCGTAAATGCTTCTGAGCTATGAAGCTTTGATCCATTAGAGTTGCTGATGCCAACAACAGGGGGAATGGATTGAGTCTATTTCAGGGAAATTTTTCTAGGGACATTCTAATGACTGTGAGCGTAAGTTGAACTACAAAAATTAATTCCAATCCTTTCTTCAGCAGAGAATTGCCATATAGTCTTAATTAGTTCGTCTGTTCCTCAGTTTTCTCATCTATAAAATGGCAACAATTATATGTAGGGGATATTTATAACTATGAATGGATAGCTGAAAATCCTTTTGAAAGCATAATTCATTAT